ATACAAAGAGTATTTAAACACAACAAATTAATACAGGTGGTAAGTTACTAAAAGCTGTAAAGAGTTTTTATGAGGATAGCGAGGCTCAGGTTAGGGTGTGTAGAAGAGAGGGAGACTACTTCCCAGTAAAAGTAGGTCTTAGACAGGGATATGTAATGTTACCATGGTTGTTTAATGCAGTGGACCCCCGGTTAACGATATTTTTTCATTCCAGAAGAATGTTCAGGTGCCAGTACTGACCGAATTTGTTCCCATAAGGAATATTGTGAAGTAGATTAGTCCATTTCAGACCCCCAAACATACACGTACAAACGCACTTACATAAATAAACACATTTACATAATTGGTCGCATTGGGAGGTGATCGTTATGCGGGGGTCCACTGTATATTTATAGATGGGGTTGTAAAAGAAGTAAATGCTAGGGTGTTCAGGAGAGGGGTGGGATTAAATTATGGAGAATCAAATACAAAATGGGAAGTGAGACAGTTACTTTTTGCTGATGATACTGTGCTTATGGGAGATTTTAAAGAAAAATTGCAGAGGTTAGTGGACGAATTTGGGAGTGTGTGTAAAGGTAGAAAGTTGAAAGTGAACATAGAAAAGAGTAAGGTGATGAGAGTAAAAACTGATTTAGATAAAGAAAAATTGGATATCAAATTGGGGAGGAGGAGTATGGAAGAAGTGAATGTTTTCGGATATTTGGGAGTCGACGTGTCAGCGGGTGGATTTATGAAGGATGAGGTTAATCACAGAATTGATGAAGAAAAAAAAGGTGAGTGGTGCATTGAGGTATATGTGGAGGCAAAAAATGTTATCTATGGAGGCAAAGAAGGGAATGTATGAAAGTATAGTAGTACCAACACTCTTATATGGGTGTGAAGCTTGGGTTGTAAATGCTGCAGCGAGGAGGCGGCTGGAAGCAGTGGAGATGTCCTGTCTAAGAGCAATGTGTGGTGTAAATATTATGCAGAAAATTCGGAGTGTGGAAATTAGGAGAAAGTGTGGAGTTAATAAAAGTATTAGTCAGAGGGCTGAAGAGGGGTTGTTGAGATGGTTTGGTCATTTAGAGAGAATGGATCAAAGTAGAATGACATGGAGAGCGTATAAATCTGTAGGGAAAGGAAGGCGGGGTAGGAGTCGTCCTCGAAAAGGTTGGAGGGAGGGGGTAAAGGTGTTGTGGGCAAGGGGTTTGGACCTCCAGCAAGCGTGCATGAGCGTGTTAGATAGGAGTGAATGGAGACGAATGGTATCTGGGACCTGACGAGCTGTTGGAGTGTGAGCAGGGTAATATTTAGTGAAGGGATTCAGGGAAACTGGTTATTTTATATAACCGGACTTGAGTCCTGGAAATGGGAAGTACAATGCCTGCACTCTAAAGGAGGGGTTTGGGATATTGGCAGTTTGGAGGGATATGTTGTGTATTTTTATACGTATATATACTTCTAAACTGTTGTATTCTGGGCACCTCTGCAAAAACAGTGATTATGTGTGAGTGAGGTGAAAGTGTTGAATGATGATGAATGTATTTTCTTTTTGGGGATTTTCTTTCTTTTTGGGTCACCCTGCCTTGGTGGGGGACGGCCGACTTGTTGGAGAGAGAAAAAAAGAAAAAAAAAATCAATACAGTACTAAAACAGATAATTTGCACAAAATATTTGATTTGATTATGATGTAGGATGTCACTAATAGTAACGTATATAGATATAAAAAGACAAGTTACAGGTTGAGGGAGGACAACAGTAAACATGGAGTTTAGTGGGTACAAACTGCATCTTATTCTGCCTTGGATATGTCAGCAATACAGAAGAATTCTGATAGATTATATTCTTAGCTATGTAGTAACTCTTGCCTGTGCAAGATTTCCTTACAACAATTTTACCACGGAGTCTCCTTAGTCTATAGAGAAGGTGTCTTCTCTCTGCAATTAACTCATTTACATAAATGTCATGTTTCATACTTAGGTGTGACTGAATTAAGTTTTTGTTTTCTAGAGCAAGAGTAAAATTTTCGAAATACAGTTTTTTCCACATTTGGTTAACCTATTAATCTTGCTTCATTGATTTCATCATATTAGATGTTTACTTAAAGCTTTTCCTTGATGATTTGAAGAGTGGTCCTGAGACAAGAATCTTGAGCAATGGAGTCAGGAAGATGATTTGCTATTTACTACAACAACATTTGATAGCTGCTGCGCTGCTGCTGCTGCTCAAGTTAGTCTTTATAGTTTGGGATGAAGCTGATGAATTATAATCCATGCTCGACTTTTCTTCCTTAACCGTTTCATTGTCCGGGCCATAGTACTACGGGTCTGAAGTCACTGTTAGTGACATAGTACTACGTCACAAGCTCAGCTCACTCAGATAAGCTGTGAGTGGTAAATTTGGGCCTGGATATGAAAGAATGGGTCTATGTGGTAAGTGTGCACTATATAAAAAAAAATTGTGCTGCATGCAGTGAATAATGAGAAAAAAGTTGACAGAGTTTTTGGTTTAAAACAGCAACTTGGCAATGTATTTTTGTATGTTTTTATGGTTGCATTTTCGGTTTCTTGGTCTCATTTGATAGAACAGAAGATATATTACAGAAATAGAGATGATTTTGATTGGTTTCAGGACTGAAAGTAGCTTGAAACTGGCCTCAGATTAACAAAAATGTTAAAGTTTTGCCAATATTCAAGAGTAAACAAATCACGTCACTCATCCAATACACATCCAACTGGTGGGTCTACTATGCAGTCACAAATGTGCTGATATTATTTACACAATTATTATATTGCATAACAGTAAATCTCCTAGGTAGTAGGCTGGTAGACAGTAACCGCCCAGGGAGGTACTACCGTCCTGCCAAGTCAGTGTAAAACGAAAGCCTGTAATTGTTTTACATGATGGTAGGATTGCTGGTGTCCTTTTTTCTGTCTCATAAACATGCAAGATTTCAGGTACATCTGCTACTTCTACTTACACTTAGGTCACACTACACATGTACAAGCATATATATACACACACCCCTCTGGGTTTTCTATTTTCTTTCTAGTTCTTGTTCTTGTTTATTTCCTCTTATCTCCATGGGAAGTGGAACAGAATTCTTCCTCCGTAAGCCATGCGTGTTGTAAGAGTCGACTAAAATGCCGGGAGCAAGGGGCTAGTAACCCCTTCTCCCGTATAAATTACTAAATTTAAAAAAGATAAACTTTCGTTTTTCTTTTTGGGATACCCTGCCTCGGTGGGATATGGCCGGTTTGTTGAAGAAAAAAAAAAAAACAGTAAATCTTCTATTTTTTGTGTGTGAATAAAAAATCAAGATGGAATTCATATGTAAAGCCTGGGAATGTAATTAATGAACAGAGGAAATGTTATCTTAGTGCCAGGAATTTTTTTCTTTTTAACACATCGGCCGCTTACCACCGAAAAAGAAAAACTTTCATCATCATTCACTCCATTACTGTCTTGCCAGAGGCATGCTTATACTACAGTTATAAAGCTGCAACAATAATACCCCTCCTTCAGAGTGCAGGCACCGCACTTCCCATCTCCAGGATTCAAGTCTGGCCTGCTGGCTTCCCTGAATCCCTTCATAAATTTTACCTTGGTCACACTCCAACAGCACATCAAGTCATAAAAATTATTTGTCTCCACTCACTCCTATCAAATATGCTCACTCATGCTTGCTGGAAGTCCAAGCCCCTTGCACACAAAACCTTCAGAATAAACAATGCGGGAATGCCTGCATTATTTATTTTGGACCATTTTTTTTTTAAATTGGAATATTTTAAAATTTGGGTAGCTGAAATAGCTGATTGGGCAGTTTCTTGTGCTCAATCAATAAAATGAAAGACATACTAGTGAAATAGCTAAGAATTTGATTTACTGGAACAATGTAATTGGCCTAAAATAGGACTCAAAATTGGGAAAAATCACCAATGAGTAAATATTGCAGACACATCAAAATTTGTGAAAACATAATTTCATAAATTTTTCCATCAAATTTCATACTTTTTGTTTTATTACCTTTAGAAAAAGATTCTCTTTCCATTTCATAAGGAAAGATAACAAAAATTTTTTTGAAAATTTTTTGGACACTGGGCAAGTTTCAGATCAGGGATCGGAACAACGATGTTGATGTTTGCTTAAGCTTTTATGCGAGTATCACTGGTTTGTTCTAAATTGTGAACTTTAAGCTCCAGATTAGCAATTTTACTTATGTTGAGGGTCTGAGTGTATTTAAGCTCAGTGTAGGAGGCTTGAAGGGTTTGTATGTCTTGGGTAAGAAATTTTATTCTCTCACTTTGGACTCTGAGGGATTCAGCAACCCTAGGGTGTTCTCTATAGATAGCTTCAAATCCAAGAAAGAGGTAGTAGTCATCGATTGGGGGTGATGTCCATGTTTGTTGTTTGGCGAGAGATAAGGGAGCAGCAGGAGGCAAGGGATGCATCCACCTATAGGCTCTTAGTAAATGAAGATGTAGAGGCAATACTCTCCTCACCTGTCTTCTGGGTCTTTTGGTGGTTTATAGTGATTCTTTTATTGTACTGACCAATTGTCACAGAATGCTGCTTCAGATGATTCAGTGGTACAGGGTATATAAGAGGGAACTGTGAAGCTTGCAGTAGGGCTCAGGTTGGAGTAACAAGCAGTCATCTTGGTTGATACAAAAGTTTATTTGGTTGATTTCTGCAGTTGATCTATATGATTATGGGTCTATGCATATTAGTGTTGTGTGTGTCTTTTCTAGGCTATCATAAGGGCACTAAGATGCATAGGCTACTATAAAATGAAGAAAAACTCATGCTGCCATACTGCTGCCGTTCAACAAAAACAATGGCTGTCATAGTAGAAATGTGTTTATAGTCAAATACACACATGAAAAAATTACCACTGTAGCTGCCAGAGAAAATAGATATGAAAGGTAAAATATAAGAACTTAATATTCAATGGAAGTCAGGAGAAAATGTATAACATACAATGGTGATGAGATAACAAAAGTAACGACATTATCTACCTGAGGTGTTGCCCAGCCAACACGGCACAGCCCGTCATCTGACACGATTGATTCAAAATAATATTTGCCTTTGCCAGTGACACCCTTGGTGCATCGCACACCCTGCCAGCACTTAGGATCCCGTGACTGGCACCGCAACCCATCAGGGGTCACCGCCATTCCTGCATCACGGTCGAAGAAACTCATCAACCAGAGAGGAGCTGGTAAGAACAAGCAGAGAACCAGAATTAATGCATTATTATTATTTAATAACTAATGCTAAACAATTTTATTAGTCTTGAGTGCCAATAACAATTAATAATAAAAATTAATAAGACATATAAAATTAAAAAAATAAACAAATAACAGCAATAACAACTCGAATGCTTGTTCTATCAAGAAATTCACAAGTGCTCTCACACCAAATCAAGTTTATATTCAAGAGCAAGAATATGATCAGGCTAATAAGCTCAAGAGTTCTCAAGCAAGACTTAAAAACCCAGATATTCCAGAATAAAAAAAAAATTTCAGATAATGAATACAGCCTCTCCTCACTTAATGACGGATTTCCGTTCCTAAGACCGCGTCGTTAAACGAATTCATCACTAAGTGAGGAACACACTATAATGGTAGTGGGTTTGTGTCGACCATCTTTGATATTGTTTTAATGTCACCTTTGCACCATTTATAACATTTCTGGTATATTTGTAAATGTTTATACAGTAGTGTACTGTATACTGAAATAAACAGAATAGAGGAAATCAGCTCTAATATACATTATTTAGGTACGTATAAATACTGGTCAGAGAGCCCGTCATAAGTCTGAGGCGTCGGTAAACGAGTACGTCACTAAGGGAAGAGAGGCTGTACTACAATCATGAGGTACTTGGGCAAAAAACACATGTAAACACTATTAACATACTTACAAGCCTCCTTACTGACTTTTGAGGTCTTGCCAAGTTGGATATCCTTAAGAGTTTCCCAGACAATCTGCAGAATGGGAAGACAGAAAGCACCAGTCTTACCACTACCCGTCTCAGCTGCCATCAGAACATCACCGCCTCCCAAAATAAGTGGAATTGCCTCACTCTGGACATCTGTTGGTAATCTGTATAGAAAAATTATTGTGCATTAAGAACTTGAATTAAAGTGTCAAGCACTTTTAAATACAAAGTGAAAGATGTGAATATTTTTGCCTCAGTTATGTGCTGGGGAAGATGAAGGATAACAAGAATATAACAGATACCAAATTATAGATTCTTTTACTAATCCTTCATACTTCCAACAGTTTCTTAATTTGTGTATCTTAAAAAAAGCCTATAAATCTGCTATTTCAGCAGATTTGTGCTGATATACTCATGCCCATCAATCTTAGTTATTATGGTTTTGTCTCCCCTTAACCCTTTCAATGACAACCCCTGAAATTAAAAGTGCTGACTGTGCTGCAATAAAAAATTCTGAAATGCTAGAGAATATTCTTCTAAAGATAAAAACACCAAAACCATGAAATTTGATGGAAATCCTGTGGAATTACATAGGTATAAATGTGGCATTCTGCACTCAATTTTTGCATCGGCTATTTTACCCACTTTAGAGTCCCATTTTAAGCCAGTTCCACTGTTCAGTTTGACCAATTCCTAACTATTTTGCAAATATGTCATTTGTTTTATAGACTGAACACAAGAAACTGTCCATTCAAGTATCAGAACTACCCTATAAAATATTGAATACCCTATGAAGTGCAAAGAAGTCTGTAATTGTGCCAATTTTACACACTTTTACATGCATTCCAACATAAGAACAGAATCCAACCAATAAAGCAACCTATCCTGTTCATTAATCATGTCCCTAGGCCTTATCTATATAACACCTGCCCTCCAGTTGGAATCCACAAAAGAAAAAAATGAAGGTTTACCCCATTTCTCAGATAATGACTGGTCATGATTTAGTGCGTCCCAATAATTGAAGCAGACTTAGTAAAACCCCAGAAGAGAAATTGGGAAAGGTGGAGGGTAACAGGGGCCACTCAAAAAAAATCACCAAAAATCTGATGTTTCCGCTACTTTAAGTTCTAATTTAACCCTTTCAGGGTTTCTGATGTACTAGTACAGCTTAAGCACCAGGGTTTTTGACGTACAGGAAGGCCCCGCTTTACGGCGTTTCACTTTACGGCGTTCCGCTAATACGGACATTTCAAATTATGACCAAAACTCACTATACGGCTCCCCCCACCTGACTTTCTAATACGGTCACCGTGCCCCACCCTGTTTGTTTACATTCTCCATGAGCTCAGTAAGCACTAAGTCTCTCCATTTTGTCTGGAAACTCCAAAATTTCAAATGTTTTTAAAAGTTATTTCATATTTTATATATACTCTGATAATTATACTTATGTATACCTGTACCTAAATAAACTTACATACATCGAGTCATTTAAATGTCGTATATTACGTTAATATACACATTTTCATTAATCCATCCATGATATTTTTTTCAAAATTATATAATAAACACGATGCATAACATATAAATAAGATAAATACACCCCACAGTAGAATAAATAAACAAATGTGAGATGTCGTAGCAGACGACTTGCACAAGTGGTGATAATAACAATACCGAGTCTCATTAAATGTCGTATATTACGGTAATATACACATTTTCATTAATCCATCCATGATATTTTTTTCAAAATTATATAATAAACACGATACATAACATAAAAAGATGATAAATACACCCCACAATAGAATAAATAAACATAAATATAAGATGTGGGAGCCACATAACTTGTACAAGTGACGCCAAGAATAACATTTTCTCTAATCTAACATAAGAGTAAATGTGTTACTGGGGGTAACTGTAGAAAATTATTCCTTTCGTATGTATGTAAGTAAGTTTATTCAGGTATACACAAATACAGTTACATAGATTATCATACATAACAACATACGTGTAGAGAACCTAGGATAACCCAAAAAAGTCAGTGTGACTTATTTCCATTGCCTTCACTCAGAGCTTCATTTCTTCTCAAAATGATGTTACATGAGAATGGGAGTGTTCTTCTTTATTAATTCTACCGTATCAATGTAGAGACAACCTGTACACAATGTAACTTGTACACAAACCAGACGTGTACACTTCGTTTGTTTACAAAACTTACCTTCGCCTGGTTTGTTTACATAACTGCGCCTGCCCCCTCTCATGTATTCATTCTTTCTCTCTCTCATTTATTCGTTTTATCTCATTTACTTACTCCTGACCCTACATTAAGACTACAAATATTTTAAGGTAAGTAATGAGTGAACTGTATATACATTTTATCGCTCTGGGATGCTTAAATATCATAGAATAGTATGTGTGGGTGGGGTGGCCTGGTGAGGCTATTACAAATACATACCACACTTGATTTCTTACAATAAATACTACTTGTCTCACCCTAGATTAAGACTATAAATATTTTAAGGTAAG